TTTTTTATCCTATTCAGCAGTCCTTAGTCTCCTTTTTGTCATTCATCGTTTACAGTTATCTTTAGGTTATATTTTCCAGTTACTCTCCACTGCCCCCTAGTGTTGCCTTCCTTCTTCCGTAGTTTTTTCTCTGCTCACTTGTTCCCATTCAGATCATCATTCCACTCTTTGTCCTGTTAGTCTCCTCCTCAGTGTATATATATGTTTCCTCTGCTGTTTGTCTTTGCTGAATAATCTCTCTTCTGGTTCCCATGTTCCTTGGATGTTTAATTTTGGACTTATACTTTGGCTGCAATAAATCTGCATGAAATCATTTCAGCCTCTACATTTTGGGTCCAGCAACAAACTTCTCTATTTACTGACAAAATATCTGAGTCATTATACACAATATAAACTATTCTAACTTTATAAATAAGACCTCAAATGGTAAGTGTAATTAAGCCCCAACTCTGTACATTGTTAATCTTGAAGTCTTTAAACTGCACCAAGAGGTTTACTAAAATATTCCTTTTAAATGATTTTAACTTGATTTATTGGGATCTATTTTCATTTAGCAAGCAGTAACTAATTTAGCCCTACATACATGAGGAGATATAAAAACATTGTCTGAGAATTCTGCTCAAGTAAAAAAAAAGATATTCAGTCATAAATAAGCAGCTGATTAGAGCTGCAATATTTCTCTGCTGAAGTAGATAGTTTCTCATAGATTTTACAGCCTTTGCTACTGAAGGTCAAAGGAAAAATAGGACAGTTTGTGTAGCCTAAAAGGCCTTTTAGATAGTAACATTTTAGGCCTAGAAAGAAATATTATTTTAATTAAGATTATACCACCTTCAGATCAATTAATCAAAATAACAAACTGTCCTCGCAGCTACATCATTTGTTTATAAATTCAAAGGTTTATAGAGGCTGCTCAAACATACATTAAGTTTTACTCCTTATGCTTGTGATGAAGATGCTGATTTTATTAAGATGATAACGGACTGGAAACGCAGTGATCAATAATTCAGCTCTGACCCAACTCCACCTTCAACACGATTATGACTCAAAGGTCTAACCGTCACCTTTAGCCAGAGGTGCAGCATCAGCCTCTCGTCCTGCAGCTGCACCAAGTGGTGAGCTGAGGAGGATAAACATCAGCAGGGCTGCAGGCCCAGACTTAAGGTCCAGTGGGTGTTTCTGGACATCTTCATTCTGTTCCTCCAGCTTTTCTTCCTTTTTACCTTTTTTCCATGTCCCACCGAGCAGAGTAGATCTCAGAATTACTTCAAGGCATTATTTTGGGATTACTTCAATGAGATGAAAAAAAAAGACAGCAAAGTGAGCAAAAATGTTTAAAGGGAGAGGAGGAGATAATATGTTAAAGAAAAAAGACTTGCTGCAACATTTACTGGGAGAGAAAGGTAGCAAAACAAGCACAAAAAAAAGTGCAAACAATCAGCACATCACTCAGAAACACACAATATTTCATACTTCCTTTTTCTGAGGGATATTAAACAGACTGGACTCTTCTTGTTTACTCACAAATGTCCACAGGGTTTATGATTGATAGGGTGCTGTGTCTCAGCATGATGGTGTGATACTGGGGCTGCATGGCACAGGATAGCAATAAATTAGATTAGCAGACTCTTCCTCAAGAATCTCAGATTGCTCTATAAATGGGTTAAAATACACAGTCTTACCTATTAATTGTAGTTTCCAAAAGGCCTCCAAAATAGCATTCAGTTAGGGAATATAAAATGTTTGGGTATTAACATATTTTTGAAACTTGTGGATTTTATAAAATCAAATCCACATCCCTCTATTTAAGAAGTGGAAGATGATCTTGTTGGATGGAAATCCCTATCATTGATTACCTAGGGTTGCTTCAATAAAAATGATGGTCTTGCCAAAAATAAATGACCTATTTTTTTATGATTCCTGGGAAAACATCTCCAGACCTGTTCAAATCTTTGGAGTCTTCCCTTACCGAGTTTTTCTTAAAAGGATTAGATCTGCTCAACTTCCATCATTACTTCCTATAGCCAACAGGCTACAACATCTGTAAATGGCTGAAAACGATTTCTGTTCAGTTTATTTATATAGCGCCAATGCCCAACACATAAAGGCACTTTATAATCAGATTATACAGTCAAATTGATTCAAAGTTTATTCAAATTTTCTCTGTTTTTAGTTCCTCTCATCTCATACAAATATGGAAGCAGGCTGTATATAGTATCTATCTATTCCCAGAGCTTTATTGGAAAAACAGGACCAAAAAAACAAAACAAAAGCAGAAGAATCAGCGCTAGTTTCATTCATAAACCTGTTGAACGGCTAAGCTCCGCCCCTCTGGACGGAGTCAGGGAGGCGCCGGTGAGGAAGCAGCGTGTCAGTGTGTGAGCGCAGCGGGGTGACGGCTGGAGGCAGACAGGTAAGATCTGCACAGGTTCATCTCTCAGCAGCTCTAACTAGAACTATTTGAAGCGGTTCTATACAAACACAGTCTAATATCCGGAGTCTATAGAAAACATGGAAGCTCCGCTCACCAGCCGCTCAGTGTTTCTCTAATAACCTTTAATATTTCCGTGGTCTCTTTATTAATTCCAGTTTTTATTCTACAAAGGTTTTCTTTATTTGACAATTTAAAGTCGACATTATATGGAAACCCGAATATTTAAGCTTTAAGTTTGCGACAGGACATAGTTGTATTTATTTATTTATACACTATTTTGTTCCATATTTGGGGGAGACGCAAAACATATAAATGTGTATTATTTTTAGCAAATGGAAATAATAATAGATTTTTTTTATTACTGTAAAAAAACGCGGTATTTATTAATTTATTATTTATATTTTTTATTTTTATTTTGGTTAATTTGTTGCTAATTTAACAGCTACAGGAACTCAATCAGGATGTTTTTGGTTTTATTATTTTTAATTAAATAAACTTTTTGATACACCTGAATCATTCCTAAATGCAACACATGTTTATTGTTTTTCCTTTTATTAATAACGTGTATGTTTGCAGTGAAATCTTTTGCATTCATCTTAATTTCCCTCTGGGTTCTAATCCTAATCCTAATTTAACGGCCTAACACATGATTTCAAAATGGAATATTCCTGTTTTTAGTCATATTACATGATATTAGGATTTTACGCCTATTAAAATCTGTTTCATTTCATATGTATCTATATATTCCAGCTCTTCTGTGAAGGTTGTGTTGTTTTCTCAGATATATAAGCCCACTAAATTATTCTCTATCAAGTAAAAGCAGCAAAACTGAAGTATCTTTAATGAACATTTCCTTCATATTCAGATAATTATTTAGCTATATAAAATGGGTGGTTTGGTTTTTACAGCATTGATGGTCTGTTGGCAGTTTCCTCCTCTGCAGGATATTCAGGAATAATAAAAAATGAAGTCAGTCACAAATGAGTGTCTGTTAGATTTGAAGGCTGAGACAGTAACCTCTTTGTAAAGCATGTCAGCATTCCTGAGGGGTTCCTCAGACAGGTGTGATTATAGTTTGACTCCTTAGTGAAAATTTTTCAACAGCAGAAGAGATATTTACAGAAACGGAGCCTTTGAGCCAATCAGGAGACAGAGACTGAGAACAGATTGAGATGTGATGAGCAGAGTCCAGTTAAAGCAAAACCAACAGGTTGAACTTTGACCTGATGTTTCTGTGTAGAATGTTCAGGTTCTAACAGATTTCCAGATTTTTGCATGTTTTAGACGACCCAGTTGACAAAGTTCCTGTCACTAAAACTGTACCACAGATCTTTTCCTGTCATGTAAAGGAGAAATAATTATAATTAAATGTAGGAATCAACCGATTTGCTGCCAAACAGCTTAAAAAGTCCCCCTGAGGCATAAAAAAGAGCAAAAACTGAGGAACACTGGCCATCTTCTAAGAAATGACTCAAAATTACTGATTGTTTTATTCCAGACAAAAGTTAATTAAGAGCACAATTATTTGACCCCTGGAGGAGCAATCAAGGTAAATCTTTAATCACAGTTGATAAACTTGTCTTCATTACAGTTTTTTTTGTTTCAGTTCACAATAAAGAGTTTTATCCTTAAAAATACTCACAGATTTAATCTAAAATCCTGTTAAATACTGACCAATTTAATATGATAAAGAGCCAGATTCACACCGTCCAATTTAATTTATGCATTTATTTATTACATCAACTTTTATTCATTGTAACTTATTAAAGAATTGGATATTTTAACCCCTTCAGCTCAGTTTGATGCAATTGAATTAGTCTTTTGCTAATAAATCAAATTTGAATCAATTAATCAATCAATCAATTGAATCAATTAGAATTTTAATAGCATAAACTACACTTGACAAACTGTGATTAGGCAGATTGTCTGAATTTGTTCAAACTGATTTAAAGCCTGGTAATTGAAACTGCAATTTCATCATATTTGAAGCTTTTAACATACAACAGACTATTTATCTCACCGCAGGACAGCTAGAGTCAATTTATGCAAATTCATGCAATCAGATCAAAATCAGTTTGTTCAAAAACTCAATTACCTCCAGAATCAAGTGAATTTAACTATATATTGTGCGACCATAATGCAGTGTTATATATTCCCATTTTGTGTACCTAGTACCACTAACCACATCATAACATACACCTACAAACACAATACCGCATCTTCTTATACTAACACTTTCATTCCACTAACTAACTCTTTTACTCCACATGAATACAGGTTATTCCATGTTTAAAGCTATTTTAAAAAAGCACTTCACAGATTGAAGCCTCGAAGAAGCAACAAGAGTAAATTCTTGATTGAAATCAAGTTTAAGGGGAAAACATTTTGTCCACCAAAGGTGGTGTTTAGCTGATGGTTGGTTTTATGGTTCTGCTTCTTACAGTTCAGGGGTCCATCGATTGTCACCATAAGTAAATAAGTGTGAAATCAACTCAGCCCTGTTTTTATCCTTCCAGGTGACTCTGCAGGGATGTCCTTATCCCCCTCCTCCTGCTCCTCCTCCTCCTGGCTCGTCCCTTCTTTGATGCTTTGAGTTGCGTTACCACACAACAGCGAAGATCGAGCAGTACCTCCTCCAGGCAGCGCCGCCAACCCGACTCACTCCACCTGTACAAGCATCGGCAAGTCGGTCAAAGGTACGACAGGCAGATGTGTTTATGATGGATTTTTGCATGGCGTTTAGAATCCCCTAAAGCTGCGGTTGTCCAAGTTCAGCCTGCAGCTGCCAGGACTGCAGAAAAGAACGAAACAAAACTTAAAGTAAAAAACAGAAATATTTGGAGTCCAAAAAATCATAATTCATTATGGTCAATAAAAAGGCCATCATTTGTAAAATCGCGGAAACGGTGCCTTGGAGAGTATCTGTGAACACCTATTTTCAAGCCTGCCAGGAATTCTCCATTGCTGAAGTTTGACTAGCAGCTCTTACAATAAACTATTGCAGCGTCTACCTTATTTAAAAATAAATCCATAAATAATTAAATGGTCATTAAATAAGTAAGCATAAAATTAATAAAAAAAATAGAATTAAAAAAATAAAAGTTGAGATTATAACAGCTAAAATAAATAAATTAAGGTAATTAATACAAAGGCGAAAGTAAATACATAAAGCTAATTAAAAGAGCAATATATCCATTTTATGCTCTGTTAGGGGTGGGTTGAGGTCTTTGGCAAAGAGCTTACGATTCGCTTCGAATACGATTCACATGCCGATGCAATTCTATCACGATGATTCTTGAAATATCGCGATGATCACGATGCCATTGCGATATTTTCACTGAACCACTGTAAGAAAAAGGACACAGCCCTTACCAGTTCCTGACTGGCTGTGTATGATTGATCGTCGTCTTCAAATGTTACATACACTGAAAGCACACCTGAATTCATTACATTAGTGTATTTATGAAAATGTTGGAGGTGTTGCCCATGAAAACAAATACTGGACAGAAATATTACTATTACTGCGTGGACACACTGACAAAAAGATCTTAGGATTATAAAAGACTTAAAATAAGAAAATAAGGTTAACCTCAGATGCCGTTACATGGCCTCAGTGGTCTTTAAACCAATTGAAACGAAAAACATTTAAATGTATATTTCACCTTTTGCAAATTACGTGCGTCATATCAATTTCATTTTTACCTTCTTTGTTTTTAAAGCCAAAATGCATCCAAGCATCTGACTTGAAATGTGGTGGAACCACGGGGCGAATTTTAATAGTGTCCTCCAGGTTTATTTTCATATGACTCGTCGCAGTTTATCCCACGGCCGGACATCCTTGTGGACACAAGGCAGCGGGGGGTCAACACATCCACAGCGACATCTGCTGGACTGGAGTTGTATTCACTTGTTTGGCGATGTGCGCCAACCATTAATGTATTTTATTTGTTCATCTTTTTTTGGTTTTGTTTAATAAATCAATTCTTGCTTTCAAGAATCGATGCAGTAGATCACATAAATTAGAATCGCGATGCATCGTCATGACGATTATTTTGCACACCCTTAGTCTCTGTATAATTTAATTTATATCTACATTTATTTGTTTATTGTATTTTTGGGGGCAATTAATTGTATGCTTATTTATTTATTAAGCATTTATTTATTTTTGTATTTATTTTTAAATATGGTAGAGCTGGTCTTCCATAATAAAGTTGGATCCAAACTATTCACCTTTATTTATAGCCAAAGTTTTGAGTTTTAGCCATTTAGCTCCTTCCCATCAACCCCTACCAGCTTAGCTTCCCCTTCCGAAGAACTGCATCCCCACAGCATGACCCTGCCACCAACACGGTACAGCCTATAGGGATTTCTTTACCCCACTTTTATTCTTCTTGTGAGGGAATTTGTGCCACAGCCAATACATCATTAGGAATGTTGGTTCCTGGGTAAGACCCTTAACCCCACAATGCTCCCCACGTGCTGCAAGCGGGTCACCCCCCTATCTGCATGAACAAAAACATAAATAGTTTGGGTTTATTATTTTTTAAAGATTTCTAAAATTGGACATTGTACAATTAAACTGGGTTTTAAAGAGCTTTGTAAAAGCAGTCATAGTCCTAGAACCTGAGTTTAGGTTATTAAATGTCCTTTATTTTGAACCAAATTTTGAACTGCAATATTTTCACTGGGAAGGAAAATGTTTCATTTTTCTTTCTTCTTCTAAATCCAGCCATAAGTTGTAAGAATCAGATTTTGGCTGCAGGTCTTTCTAGTCCATTCCTGCCAGCATGGAAAGGATAGTTCAGTTTTTACTGCTGTAAGTTAGGTTCTAAAGTGCTTTGAACCTGCATCTAAAGTCAGTTATGTCCACAAGTACAACCTGAGAAAGGTTTCTTTCCATAAACTGACATGGGATGACATTTTAACGGTTAGGTATCAGGTGTCTGTCACCGTAGCAACTTAAACTCCGGCCGGGTGTCAGTCGCTGCGATCAGATGACAGAGGTGAGGACGGCTGCTTATTTAATCTGGGGCACTTTAATCGGGCTAATCACACTCAGACATACAGACTGACACACACAGCTAATCTGAGCTAATCCAGGACACCAACTGGCCTCTTTCCAGATCAGTTTGTGTTTTGTTCTGTTCTCGCCTCATCGGTCCTGGTTGAACCGCCCTATCTGCCAGGCTGCCGCAGTGACTCCTACACACTTTGCTATGAATCACGTTTCGATGTGAGTGTGAGGCGTGTTGAGGCTTGCATGGCTTCATTCACCCAGTTCAGAGCAGCTTTCAACATGGTAGCAGCTGATGTGTTTGTGTGGAAAATTCTAGATCACCAAGAGTTTACTCACATTTTAACTTAAAGAATTCTGGAAGATTCTGTAAGATAAAAATGGCTGGAAAAACGTGGAAGAACATGGAATATAATTAAACTTTAACAGGGCTACATAAGTACATTTCATCCATCCATCCATCCATCCATCCATCCATCCATACCATCCATCCATCCATCCATCCATCCATCCATCCATCCATCCATCCATCCATCCATCCATCCATCCATCCATCCATCCATCCATCCATCCATCCATCCATCCATCCATCCATCCATCCATTATTAGCCTTTCACCATCTAAAAGGAAACAAAGTATCAGATCAAACCTTGACAAATATCTTCTCACTCTGTGTCCTCAGGGCAGCAGTTATGGGTGTTGGCTCTGGGTGTCAGCCCTCGTCGCCACACCATTGGAATCCCAGAGTTCAAATATGTTGCGAATATGCATGGAAATGAGGTGAGAGGACACACCCACACACACAACTGCAACATAACCATCCCTGTTGCGCAGGAAGTGGGTCTGAACGGTTACTAAAGAGATCCACAAAAGCCTTTCAGAATCCGACACAGTCCACCAACTCTTTTGTGTTTAGACAACAGACTGCAGGGTGGCCTGTATTATTGTCAGATGAAAACGGACAGCAGGCTGAGTCAATATTAAAACAGTATGACAGAGATGTTGGTAAATTCAAAGGAAGCAACAAAACTGGAACACAGACAGGGAGGATTCAACAGAAGAAAAGACATTTATTTGCACAGTTCCTTATTTATTCAGATCTAATCAACAATGAAAAAGGATGACGCATAAACTGACAGGGCAGGGAGAGCAGCCAGGAAGGCTGGATTAGCTGCAGGGATCTGATCTCTGCAAAGAAGTCAGTCACAGATGATCTCTGCAAACCAGATATAGCATCACCTCAGGTGTGGTGGTAAAACCTGATAGTGACAGATATTAGCCCAGCCATTAACCATGGAGATGGCTGGAGGCTAGGCATGATGTTGGAATGCTTCTCTATAGCAGGTAAAGGGAAGGCGATTCAAGCTGATTGAGGACAAATGGAGGTTATACTCCTGGAGGAAAAAGGAGCAGATTAATCTACTACAGTGGTCTAGTCAAAGTCTAGATCCAAATCCAGCAGAGGAAAATTTTAAAAGTTTTCCATCCAATGGCAAATAGTTGGACTTATTTAGCAAAGAAGAAAAAGGGAAATATTTCACGTATAAATCACACTTTAACAACAATGACACATTTACGAATAATGGCTGCTTGATATCAGCATGAGATTAGTCGTTGCCATGACAGCAGTGAAAGAAAACTTCAGTTTAATTGGATCAGTGTGCTACGCAACAGTGTTTCTGAATCATTTCCTGTGAAACAGTAAAGAAATGACCCTTTAATGGAAACTTCTAGAGACTGCTGATTAGCATCTGGTAACCATGGATACAGAGGACTGGGTATCGGTGCTGCTCATGTGTGCGGGTCAGTAGGAAGGTCCTTAAAGAGACGAGTCACGCCTGGACACACTGCGGCCTCTCACACACAGAGTCAGTAAACAGAACCAGTGGAGTGTGTCAGTTCAGAGGAAAACGTCCGGAAAAAGACCTTTCTTCCCACTCTGTCTGCACACACAGAGACACATCCCAGGATGAGCGTCTCATGTTGCCTTTTGCTGCCTGCTGAGCAGTTCCCAGCATATGACTTCAAGTATAGCTGAAGTTTGATTCCTCGAAGGTTGACCTGCTGACTTAACCGCATTTATTTTGAGAAGGTGAATATTTGGTTTCAGTTCAAACAGATGATGTATTTCATCCCACTGAGTACACAGCTTCCACCTTCCTTCTGCCTTTGCTGCAGGTTTATTCATTAAAGCTGTTAAAGAAAAACAAAGGCTTCCATTCCGCCTGGAGTTGACAGATAAAGTATCCGATTCTGCTGACTAGATTTATTACTTTATGATTGCTGGTAAGGAAGCAAAAGATTAACAAATATGTAGTCCAACCATTCATCTTTCTTTGTTAAACATTCCACCTAAAAACTTTTCAACTCTGTCCAACTCTGAATCTTCTGCTTTTTAGTTCAACATTGTCTGAAACCGTTGCTTGAATATTTAGGTTTTTCTACAGCTTTGATTTAATTTTCCTATTTTGACTTGTTGCAGCCACAAACTCTAGTGTATTTTGTTGGCTTTGTTGGATATATTGTCTTTCTTGTGTTTTGACTCCAGAACCTTTGAAATACCATATATTCCCCCCAATGTTTGCAAAATAGCTTGGCTTTTACTAGGCCCTTCTAAGACGGGGATCTGGACTATTTGTTTGTAGCTCTGGCTGTAAGTCTTGTCAACCTTGCTGTACTGCAAAGTGCTGCGCTGGAAAACCCAGTTCCTGATTAGCCTCTTCAGTTACTGATTTTTTTGGAAACATGAAACCACAAACAAACTTCTGTCACGTAATTTATTGGAAAAGCAAGTATAAACAACTGGACTACAGTAAAGGAGGCGGGATGGCGACAAGATAAAATTCTTTTAATGATTCAAAGGATAAACATAGCCATTTTGGAAAATTCTAATTTAGCCACATAAGAGCAGCTGGATCCTTTCTAACCCATCAATAGTGCATTAGCTGAGCATCTGTGAGCTGCAACCAAATGACAAAGCAAAAGAAGAATGTGCCAAAAAGAAACAAATCCAACTTTGTAAGGCAACAACTAATCTGTATGTGATATTTGTTATTTCTATAAAGCTGCTTTAAAATGTTTCCTTTAGGGCGGGGGCGGGACCAGAGAATGAGGTAGCTCTCATGTGGTTTTCCACTAAATCTAGCAATCTTCCCACAGCCCCGGTCTGTCTCTACCATCCATATTTTTAAACAAGTCACTGCATGAAAAGTGGGATTTTCGTCAATATGCGGCACTGTAGATTGTCGTGGAACTTCAGGTTAGCGGCAGTTTACGGCAATTTGCAGGCTTCGCCGAAAACTCCCGTAAATTGTCAGAAATTGACGTGGAATTTCTTAGGCAGTGTTCCCCCCATGCCTCCCCCCCATGGAATTCTAGGGGAGGCTTTAACATGTAAATGAACATGCTGTGAGCTATACAAATGCAAACCAGGGTTGCAGGGGGGGTTTTACCCCAAGTGACATCTTTCTGGGTAAGAAAATCTCTGATACAAAGAGATCAGGTATAGCCTCTTACATTTTAGCTTGAATTGATTTATTTAATTAAAGTATAGAGACCAAAACAGATCTTTAGCTGACAGAGCAATACATTTAGAGCAGTAATTATTTTTTTTTTAATTTGCATTTAAGATAAAAAATAAAATGTTGTCTGCCAATATGCTCAATTCACAATTACTTAAGTGGAAAAGTTTCAAGAAATGATTCTGAGATGATTCACTTTATAACATGGCGCATTATCCTGTTGGAAGTAGCCATCAGAAGATTGGTACACTGTGGTCATAAGGACATAGGTCAGCATGCTAAATTGGTATTAAGTGGCCCAAAGTATGGCAATAAATATCCCCCAAATAGATGGTAGAAATAGATCAGGCTCAGTATAGCCTAATTATAGACTCTTACATTTTAGCTTGAATTGATTTATTTAATTAAAGTACGCTAGATTACTGTGTATGCAAATGTTATGTAAAAAAAATACACAAAATAATTTACTTCAAAAATTAGTTTTACTCAGAATCAGTTGGCTGTAATGGTTAATTTTTTTTTTTTAGATTTCCACTTATTTTTTTATTTTTTTTTGTTATTGAATATATAAGAAAACAATAACAATCTCAAATAACAAGTCAATAACAAATATTTCAATACAAGAAGAAATATCACAACTCCTGCTTTTGAAAAATAAAATTAAATGCACAGGCTGGAACAAAGTATAAAATAAAATAAAATAAATAAAAATAAATAAAATAATAATAGTAGTTAAAGTAAATTAATCAGTGGGGACTACCAACTGAAATTCTTCAATTAACTCAAACAATTTAATTGCATTTAAATTCTGCATCTTTCTCAGACATCTTTTGAAAAGGGAAAGTTCATTTTTGAGAGCAGAGATTGAGAGGGAGCATTTTGCATAGCGACATTTATGGATATAATACTTTGTTACAATTATTAGAATATTGATTAAAAATTCAAGTTTTTTTTCTTTAATGGATAAACCGAATTGAATGTTTTGCCAGGAAATAAAATCTAAATTTATTGTTTTAGAAGACAGAAAGGTTCGAAGTTGATCCCATAAGTTTAATACTTCTTTACATTCATAAAAAAGATGTTTAGTTGTTTCCAATTGAGTTGTACAAAAGCCACAATTCTCAACATTAAACTTAAATCTCTCTCTTAAAAACTCATTTGAAGGATATATGTTATTTATTATTTTAAATTGTAATTCTTTATATTTAGGAGGAATTGGGAATTTCAAATAATTTGTCCTAATTTTGACTATCATAGATTTCTTAAAATTTTGTAAGAGAGCTGTGCTTTTTGTTCTTCCTGGGTACATATTATTTATAGAATATTGATTCTAAAACTTGTTGTTGCATTTATTATCTCTAATGTCCACCTGCTCAAATTCAATCTTATGGAGACAAACAATTGCAATTGCAAACAATTTATAGGTGCATTACCGCCACCTTCCAGAATGGAGCGACGCGAGCTCTTCTCGCGAGTCCTTCCGTATAACAATGACGTCGTATGTGATTGGAGGAGCCTGATGAGCCTCCGGCCCCCATCGTCCAATCACGTGTGAGCTTTTGTGCACTTCGACTACTCGCGAGACCAGCATATTAGAAGACATGTTTGTGTTACTATACTCAGAAGAACTTCATCTCCAGTTACCGTGTTTGTATTTTGTTGTTACGTGAACAATGGCTGCACGACGTCTCGCGTTCAACTCGCCTCCAACTGCTCTTAGTCCACAACTTTCGGCCAGCCCGCAGACTGACGAGAAGAAACTGCTGATTGCTATCAGCGGACTGTCTCGTCAGCTTGCCCAACATACTGCCGACATGAATGAGCGCCTCACTCTGCTGGAGAATTCGATGCACTCCAGGTTGTAGTCCATAGAGGACAAGATGGTGGCTCTGCAGTCGAGCAACTTTGCGGGATATACGAACTCGAGGAAGAGAAGACGGGTGCACAACGCCATGCTAGCGGTAAATATATGTTCGATTACTGGTAGCTATGCTAAAAGCAGCCTAGCTTAGCTAGGCAAGCTAAAGACAACCTAGCCTAGCTAGGTAAGCTAAAAGCAGCCTAGCCTAAAGCTTTATTAAAGTGTATTTTTTGTGATTCACAGGAAGCAGTATGCCGTCTTCACAACTCGGAGACTAATTGCAGGCGCTATGAACCGGAGCAGGGGTAAGGTTTAAAGAATATGCTTTCATTCTGCGGTAAAAGGACATGGATACGGATAAATACCGACCATAGCTGTACTTTTTTTTTTTTCACAGA